TGTTCGGTTTGACGTACGCGAACGCAAACCGTCGCAAAATCACCAGTAGCAAAGGGTGTGACATACTCTTTGTATTAAATATTTCGAGCGTGTCGTTAGGTCGACGAGCCGGTTCGAATCGTCCTGCGAATGTGCCACGAGCACGCCACCCTTATCGTATATTAATACGATACAGGTTGATTAAAACGCGCGATAAATACATTTTAAAATGTTTAAAACGCTGGTACTTAATCTCACTTCTCTGCGGACGAGGAAAAAAAAGAATTTTCCCCCTGTATGAATATTTTCTGCCCGCGCTTGGAAATAAGCTACAGTTTGTCCCAGTTTCTAGAATCGCCCTGTGTAATCGGAGTTGGCTAGTAAAAATTGTTCGGATGAAAAGAGCAAACATTTCGAAAAAAAAAAAGAATATTGTAAAGCCGCGTATACATAGAACGCGATATAAAGCGCGAAAAGGGTTCCTTGTTCCGTGAAAACGAGTTACCGAACATAACGAAACAATCTTATAATATCGTTTACAGTATAGTACAGGATTAAAAATCTACGTTTATGTAAACTCCATCGACTCGATATCCTCTATTCGCTGCCAAAGAGAATTCCACATAGAGACTTTTAAACGACTTTTCCGTGTCCTCGGAAGCACGGTTCGTCTCTGTTTGAATTTGTCGATGCTATTTTGAGGACGAGGAGAAATTGCGGATGGAAAGTTCGAGGAAATGAACTGTCGTCTGTACGATGCTGTTAGAGGGTGGCGGACGATCGCGTCGCCCGCGTCAAAATCCACGGGAAACGTGTGTCTCTAGCGCCGTGAACTATAAAGTTTGCGTACGTTGCCCGGACTCCCTTTGCTCTTTGTCCTTTTTATAGTATTTCACGTGGCGACCTTACGGGGTGCACGTAGAACACGTGACGCGTGCGTGTGGTTCAAAATCGAATGATCAATACCCGCACGCACACCAAGACGGCCCCGGCCACCCACGTACGGTACGCCGGTCACGTGCGGCATGCGTGATGGAAATGCGTTTTTCCAGGGGTTGAAAGTGAGACGACCCGATTGCGAATCTATTTCTAGCCCGTCGAACCGTCCCGGTGACTTTTTAATCGACGACGACGTGCTCCGTTTAGAATCACCTCGACCGTACGAAACCCTAAAACGACGGAATCAACCCCGATAGTGGCCGTTAAAGACGTTCTACTTTTCCAAATCTATAACTGTATTCGTATACGTTGATTAAAAAAAAAAAAAAAGTAAGGGATCGAATCGTGGGGAACAATGGCACGGACGTTTCGCGCGATCAGCCGAGCGTGCATCGTGAATCGCGTCTTCGTCGAGTAAACACGGGTATCCGTGGCTCGCGTATCAGCCTTCGATACTGTCCGCCCCCGCAACCCCTTTCCTGTTAAGGCCGTCATCCACAACTTGTTGAGTATCCTTTCTTCGATATCCCGGTCGATTCGCTGGCACGGAGTTTCGGCGAACTTTCGAACCACGCTCGATCGAACCCAAACATCGGGCCGAAATATCGGTCGCTTGTAAATTTCGAGCTCGCCGTGCATCCTCGGCGGTGTTTCGCCTCGAGTGGGATTCCATTGGCCGTGGCTGGTTCGAGGCGGGCACGAAAATCCATCGACAACAACGATTCCGCTATCCGCGGCCCCCCCCCCCCCCCCGCCCCCCCCTCCCCTACCCCGCGCTCCTCGATGCACGCCACGTTTTCACCGATTCTCCGCAATTTTGTGCGACGCGACGCGTCAATATTTGCACACCGGAGATCAGCTACGGCAAGTACAGGGGGCGATCCTGGAAACTGGGACAAGCTGTAGCTAATTTCCGACCGTGGACATCGGGGAAACGATCGAATCCCCGTTCTTTCCCGTATTCGTCCTGGCTACTGATTATTGCTAATTAAATTATTTGCTCGCGTGAGCAGTATCGACGTATCGAGCGCGAAAAGGGCCGCTTAAATTACTTACTATCGTTCGATTGAAAATAGCCTGGAAGCATGGTAACCGCGGAATAATACCGAGGAGGTTAAAAGAGGATTACCTAAATGGCGAGTATCAATTCAATTATGTCACTGAGTTATTAACGAAATAATAAGGTTGGGGTTCCTAATGGATCCTCCGTGGTCGTATAAGGGATGACCCCAAGGATCGAGGGGAGCGTTTGCCTGGTATCCAATCGAGCTCATATTCTGCAGGGAATTATTCTTTTGTGTATTGGATCCATTCCCGGGGGATGAGATCGAAGCTATTTCGGGAGGTCAAAGAATAAGAACCATCCAAATAACAGGGTATCCCCCGCGATCGTGGTACATCCGCGAGGAGGAGTGATTCTACTTTAAAAAGAAAAACAACCGTAATTCGCGTTTATAGATTAAAATCGAAGGCCGGCGGATTACAAAAAAGCAACGGATGCCACGTCCAGGGAAAAGAGAAATATTTTACGAAATTTCCGCCGACATTTGCAAACACGAGTTGCGCTCGATGCGTGTTGTTTGCCGATGTGGCTCTCGCGAGCACGAATGTTATCTCCCGGAGGAGTAGCTCCGCGTATCGCGGAATGGTCGTGCAATAACCGTCAAACGGGAAACGCAAGCAAACGGCTTTCACCCCCGTAGGCGGAGACAGCTCGCAATTGAACGCGAGGGTGACCGTTCGTGTCGCGGTGTTTCCGTTTGCGGGGACTTGACGTATCAGCGACAAACGGCGAGCAGATGTGAAACGCGTCACGACGGAGCGCGGCAATCTTCGTTCGGGGGCTAGGGAAAACGGGAAATGAGAAGGACGAGCGGAATTTCTGAATGGTACGAACGACAGGTTGCGCGGGGAACGAGAAAATGGCCAGATCGATCTGAATCGAGGGCCTCTTCTACTTCTTTTAATAAAAATCATGGAAGATATTTAATAATGTGTTTGGAATTTAAATATAGATCGAATATAGAGGTGCTACTATCGATATATCGATACGGCGACATATTGTCACAGACAAATACGAGTAGACTATTTTTCGCCGCATTTTTTTGGGGCTCTTTACGAAATTAAGGAACAATTTTTCGAATGGACTTGGAAATTCTACTTATTCTATATCAAAATACGCGTTGTTTGCATTTTGAAGTATTAGAATTCTTCAATCCGTTCAAAATCTCAGGGAAACGTACCTGTCCTGATCAGACAGTAGATTTTCGGTAAGGAATTTTTTTCTCGAAAGTGCGTAGGATTTCGTGGGTATGTGTATTCACCAAAAATGATTGTAATCGACCCCTGCAGCCAAAAATAATTTTTTCACGATGATCTAAAATTTTTTAATTTCGTTGAAAATTTGTTCACATACTGAATTTTTTTCTCAAAAGCGCGAAGGATTTCGGGGGTATGTGTATTCATCAAAAATGATTATAATAGACCCCTGCAACTGAAAATAATTTTTTCAAAACGATTCTAAAAAATTTTTGAAATTTCAGGGAAAATTATCGTATATGGTCAGACATTAGATTTTCAGTAAGGAATTTTTTTCAAGAAACTGCGTAGGATTTTGGGGATATGTGTATTCACCAAAAATGATTGTAATTGACCCCTGCAGCCAAAAATAATTTTTTTACGATTATCTAAAATTTTTTACTTTCGTCGAAAATTTGTCGAATTACTGAATTTTTTTCTCAAAAGCGCAAAGGATTTCGGAGGTATGTGTATTCATCAAAAATGATTATTATGGGCCCCTACAGCCAAAAATAATTTTTTCACAATGATTGGAAATTTTTTAATTTCGTCGAAAATTTGTCCACTTACTGAATTTTTTTCTCGAAACTGCGTAGGATTTTGGGGATATGTGTATTCACCAAAAATGATTGTAATCAACCCCTGTAGCCAAAAATAATTTTTTCACAATGATATAAAATTTTTTAATTTCGTCGAAAATTTCTCCACTTACAGAATTTTTTTCTCGAAATTGCGTAGGATTTTGGGGGTATGTGTATTCACAAAAAATGATTATAATAGACCCCTGCAGCCAAAAATAATTTTTTTAGTACTATTTGAAATTTTTTAATTTCGTCGAAAAATTTCAACATCTACTCGAATTTGCAAGCTGGTTTGGCAGTCAAATTGGGCTACGAAAGTCCATAAGATGTAAGGTTTACTCGTATACCTCGTCCGTGATATCGTGAAAATATCGATAATCGATAGTCACAGCTCTGATCAAATTTTCAAAAGACACGTGTCTATCGTTGGAACTTTAGTATAAAAGGCGATGGTAATTTGTTGATCGTATGCAATACGATGTTCTAAGTGCCTCGAAAATATTTAAAATTGCCCTTCTCCCATGTCAAGAAACATTCATTCCGTCGAATAAGAACGTAGCGCGCGACATTTATGAATCACGTGGCGAGTATAAACTCTTTCTCTGACGCAACTGTTAATTACGATTCATTTTATCGCCGCGTGTATCTACTCGAGCAAATATTGATTATGCGTAGTCACGATGATCGTACACGAGCTCCCGAGCACGGTCGATCATTTCCTACGGTCGATGTCAGGGATGTCGGTGAAATTGAAATACAGCGTAGGCTGTCGTTTTAATTTTCTCCTCAGTCCCCTTTTCATATATTATTAACGATCTCCAGTTATAGTCTATAGACACAGCAGAGTCGCGTTATATCTTCTCTTTGAAACGACTTATCGGTCCATTGAAACATTTACTTCAAAAAGGTCGTTGTTCCTGCGTGAAAATAAAAAAGAGATAGAAATTCGTTTTCATCGAAGCAAACAAGACGTGCTGGTATCTTTTACACAAATTCTTATTTGTAATTCAATCTCTGGACTATGCATCGTATTTCAGTTTCATAAACATCCCCCAGCGTCGAAAAGTGATCGATCCGGAGTGAAATGGCCCATATTCGTTCGTTATAAGCAAACGAAACGGTTTAAACCGAGAAACCGCGATATCCTTCAGACGATTGGGCCTCGTATGACGCGTTTCTCTAGATTTAAGCTGGTAGACTTACCGGTTAAGAAGGATAATCGTCGCATAGCGGGAAACGGATGGTTCCCGCTCGTGTCCAGAAGATCAAGCTGGTGGACCTCGCCCCTAATCCTGTACAGTTTCCGGTGGAAGTCCTCGATAGTTGGTGTATAACTTTCGTCGAATTTGTTGGACAAAAATCTGAAGCAAAGGCACTCTTTTAATTCTTCGTAATTCGGAAACCATCGAAAAGAAACATGTATTCCTTCTAAACAATTAACAGCTTTATAATTTATACAGAGATAAAGTTTGAAAGGAAAAGTCCAACGGGTTTCAAATGTTACTTTCAAAACGTTTGGATCAGTAACTTAATAGTGTGAACAAATTTCATCAAATAACTAGCAGATTTGCAGTTTCTAGCTGACGGACGAATATAAACAGAATTGGTCCTGAAATTACGTGCTCGAAACAGTGAATTATCATGATGTGACTTAAAAGGCCGTTCCAATCAGTTTCAATATGATGGCGCTATTGATGTGGACATTAATAATGTGGAACGGAACAATAGCATCGGTAAAGGATTTACTAGCCTTTATCGCGTGTACGTGCGAGCGATTAAATATGAATGCATTAACCAAATTAAGAATTGTGAAACGACGCGTAAAAAAAACAAAAACAAATTTGACCCATTTTTGCCGATCGATTTATTTGCAATTTCCCATGACGCGATCGCCGATAGACTGTAAACTAGAAAACCGTGCAACGTGGAATATATTTTTATCAACACGTATTCCGAAGAACAAGGGAACGGATGACCTCTTGATCTTTAATTCTTCGACTCCGTGGCTTCGAGCATCGAATTCAAAATTAGTTCGAATTATTTTTACGGTACACGTTTCCCCAACATGGCGTCAACGAGATTCTCTGCAGCAGCGTGCCAAGGTTACACGTTAGAATAATACTTGGTTTCGGGGGGAGGGAAGTCAGTAATCTCGACGACAAACGCGACATCGGCGTGCTTCCAGACCAACACCAGCAACGCAGATCGGATTTCGCGTGGAATTAAATTGTTTGTCCCATTAGCAACGATCGAACCATGCGGGTCCAAAGCGGAGTCCGCTCCAACGACCGGCCACGCTGGACATTTTGCCACAAATACGCTTACACGAATTTCCTTCGATCCCTCGAGTCGTCCATTTTCTACTATCGTGCTGGATATTTCCAAACCGGGTCGTCGAGAATTGTCCATCCGACTACAGCATATTTTTCATTGAATATAAAATATTATTCAGCCTTTACCGGGCTGAACGAAAACGAAATTTAACGAACAAAACGATTCCGTACAATTCCCAGTCCCCTTCGGTTTTTAACGACATTCGTGGACAATTCGAAACTTGTTCTTCACTCGTTTTATAAAATTGTCCCGATCTGTACGTACTGAAAAGTATCGAAGATTCCACAGGGAACGTTACACGAAATATATTAAATATTTTGCTCAATTCGCGAAGATTAAATAATATTTTATCCTCCCGATGAAATTTTCCCAGAACGGAGCTGCACCGTCGGTTCTAGCCGTAGGCCAGTTATCTCAACTTTCGATACGCGAGCTTTAACCTGCTATTAAATTTTTATTAAATTCTTGCATCTTCTTGTATTTAATATTTGAAAAATCATGTAATTTTAATGTTCGTTCTATGAATAAATAAAACAAGTCAATTTGGTAATCGGATTATTTCAAAATTCGTATCAGATCGGTCAAAAAAATAATAAATGTATACGAAGGGGAGGGGAGAATGATTGAACGACATTTAGGGTATTGCGTATCGTTCTGGTCGATCAGTACGCGCGATGAATTTTTGCCCCGATCGGTTCGAAACTATTTGCATCGATCGGCGATGGAAAAGCATCCGCGCGATTGTTCGCGAAACGCAATTAGCAAGTATTTCATCGAACGATGATGCTGCAAACACGGGGGGGAACGCGTTTTTCGTTCGATCGTAGTTCCCTAACAGTGGTCGACGGGCAGCGGGGATAAACTTTCGATTGAAAATTAACCAGGCGCTCGTAAAACGTAAGACGATCGCGCGCGGTTGATGAAATCACCGGGCAAATTGAACGCGAAACTATAATAGGACGGGTCCATTAGCAACTTTGGCTCGAAACACGTTGGTACACATGCTGACTGACGAGTCGAGAGACAATGGGAAGCGCATTATATCCATTAAGGTTATTCTTGACGGCAGGGGAACTTCATATACGCTGAATCGATTAAAAAGTCGCGTCACCACAATGGTCCGGTGATTCTTAATTTTTTTTTACAATATTCATTAAATCTGATATATTTTTAGTTTCAAACTTTTCAGACAGTGAATCAGATATTTTTTGTGTTAAAATTCTATACGTGGTTTTAGTTTTGCTCCTTAGCATGGAAAGATACGAACGAATGCGCGTCAGTCGAGCGACCGGATGCAGCGAACGTAGCAGAACATTTGATTAAACTGACGGGATTTTCGAGTAAATTCAATACAGATGCAGCGCATTCCACCGAATCGGTGACACACGTTACCTGTCACCCGTGCACTTGCCAGTTCCTCCCCACCCCCCTACGTAGGGGTTAAAAATATCACCCTGTTGAAAGCTTTTTGGTTTCGGGGGCGAAAGCGAACCGATACATTCGGCCTCGGTTCACAGTAGGCGACAACCAATCGACCGACGCTGGTTCGACAAAGTATTAAATCAAAGACGGGGAACCTTCGGCCTTTTCAGGCGCACGTTGCGACCTTTCCCTACATTCTGTTAATTATACGCGCGACAGAAAGCCGCACGACGTTAACCAACGTCGTTGCACGACAAAATAATTGTCTCGTCCATCAATTTTATTACACGTAAAAAGATATACGACAAATGATTTTCCACTGCAAAATTCAACACTGCTCAGTAACAATTCGTTGATTTTGCGCTTGGAAAATGGCTCCAGCTTGCCCTACTTTCGAGAATCGTACTCTATGGAGCGTTTTACCAGTTTGAACAACCATGAACCATTTTTAGACTTCCCCGACTTCGACCTTCTCACAGTCGATACCGTTCGATACCAAGTCGCGACTTTTTGGGCAAATTTTGGTCTGCCGGCTATTTAAAGGCGTCCATACCGAGGTCACAGTTATAATGGGCCTGGGTTAGGTTACCAATTGTAATTTTTAATCGATTCCATATTTATCTATAATCTATACTTGGATGATCCGCCTCTGGCGTTCACGTAACTTCGTCTATCTGTCCATCTTGTTACCATTAGGCGATTATTGGGAGATATACGACGAGAGATACGCTAAGCGATGGACATCGAATCAGATCGGCTAATTCGAAAGTCACTTAACTTCGAATTATTCTCGCGATGTTTTTATTTTATAGCGCACAAGTAGCGAAAAGATCACGCCTCTCTGACGCCAGGTCCTTTGTACGCGCGTTACTCTTCGACGCGACGCCATTTTTTTTTCCTGCAAAATAAATACGACGACCTAACCCGACGTTAAAAAAAACAATTTTCTTCCAGAGGCTATTAATACGACGTGGTATTGACATTATTAATTCCACGAGTCGCGAGAGACGATAAATTTGAATATTCATAATCCCCATGCTACGTAGTTAAATACAACCTAATGCAACGTTAGGAAACAATTTTCTTCCAGCAACATTCTATTAATTCGGTGTCACATCGGCATTATTGATTTCCCGGGAAGCGAAAGACGATAAATATTCAGGAATCTCGATGCTATTTGGGTTACGTAAATTTTAATTTGTCTGGATAATGTTGAGGTATTTGCGCGGGAGTGGATGCGTGTCGATAGAAAACAGTGGCGGGGAGGAACGCGACAAAGGACGGGAGAAGACACGATGTAAAATATAATTACCGTGCTACAATGGCGGTTTTGCCGACCCGAGCGCTACCGAGCATGACGAGACGATAGCAATTTCGTGGCGGCGGCTTGCAGGCGTCCTCCTGCGAGGACGTGGACGCAGGACTAGGGCTGACCGGTATCGGGAGGATCCCATCCTCCGAACCTGAGGGCCCCTCCAGTTCGGGGCCCGCCTGTGCGCCCCTTCGACCCCTGTTGATACGCTGCTCGACGTTTTCCACTGCACTTCCGCTCCCGCGGAACCTCTGCACGCAGCACAGAAGACGGCCGCACGCCTCCAGCTGAAACACGCGTTTTCACGAATTTTTACAAACTTTTAATGCACTGATTCGGCCGAGAGATCCTTTATACTTCGAGAGAACGTAAAAGAAAATTTGATTTATCACTATTTCGTTTGAAATTAAATCGTCTGTTCCATTTCTTTTAACAGTCGATTCGTTCGATCGAACGTTTTTCGGTCCAAGGTTGCGTATTTTCGTGCTTTCGGGGTCAATCGTTTTGCACGAAACTGACTGGTAAACGGGTTCTGATATATTTTTCAGTTTCGACGCATAATCCGCTCCGGGTCGAGCGTATCGATATGAAACCGTTCGTTGTCCGTTCCTCGAGCGGAAACGCTTTTAAACCGTTCGTGTTTTATTTATGTTCGACGCGATACGTCCAAGTTGTTCGCGATACCCCGGACACGGCACGGGCCTATCGAAAAATCGAACAAGTTGGTGGAGAAAATACGAATTGTCGGGTTTGAAAAAATAAAACGCCGGTTATTTTCGCAGTGGTATCAGGAACGTTCTATGGAATTTTAAGGTAACGATAAAGTTTCCAATTTTGTTAAGGGAGCGAATATTGCGTACGTTTGTTACGTTTGTGTACTTTGAAGGTGAAATAATTTTACTTTTTCCGCAAGAACCGGGCTCGTTAATGTTTCGTTTAAATGGAATTCGTTGGCGCGATTCGAAACGATCGGAAAGTTAATTTGAAATAATCCCTTTGAATTGCAAGATTCCACGAATTTGCCCCGCGGCGCATAAATAAACGAACACAAACACTGTAAAACCAACGCTCGAGCGACAAATAAAGTAGAACTTGAAACCTCATCGTACGCGTTCCGTTTGGCTTCGGTTTGCAAACTGGGAAACTCGATAGTCGTTTATTGAGTTGCTATACCGCGTACAACACGAGTTTCTGTGTCCTTTGATATATTTTTAGAAAAGTATTAATCACGGTAATTGTATATATTTCGCAAGATTCAGCCAGTGGTATTTGCCTGTAACGATTCGAAGAATTTACCTTTCTTTTTACTTGTAGAATACGATGGTTCAGATCTTTTTGGCAAACAATCGAGTTTACTTTTACTCCGTCAAAATTTTGACACATTCGGTCAAACAAATCCAAAGGCGAATATTTGAAATAATATTTTCACCGTTTTACGGCGGAGGATTTATTTTTATAAAATAAAAATGAACATGAATATTTACATCGAACTGCTCGTTATTCGCATATCTATCGGTTCATCAAATCCAAAGGGTCGGAAAATATAAGGTTGAATCAACTCTGAGCAACAGTTCTTGTTACCAAAATTAATGGTAAATCGTTAAGGTAATTGCAATGCAATTATTTCGTAAAATTAATCAGATTAAATGTTTCTCGACACTGGGATGCAAACTATTCTCGCGAATAAACGCGAAAGCGTTTTAAAAATTTTTGACCGGAAAACACTTTGTCTTTCATTTTCGGATCAAAAACGTTGGTCGTTATATAAACTCGTTTGTGAAATAACACCAAAAGGGAATTGTTAAAAATTTCAATTAAAATCAATTTCCATTCGCCGTACTTTTCCTCGACAATTCATGTCGAAATAAATGTAACGGATAATTTCCCATCGGGTCGTTCGACAAGTTTAATAACATTAATTCAATTATATATTCTCCATTATTTACTATTTTTTTCCCCCAACGCTCTGGCAACGTTTTAAACCTGAATTCGATAAATTCATCGTTATTTCACATTGCTGTGAAAAGAAATTCTATTTAAAAAATTTTTCAAACTCATTGGTCCCTCCGATAGTCGCAATTTAATTTCCAATACAGGGGCCTTCGAAAAATGTTCATTGGACGGTGATAAAAGTAATTTTAAACAGAATATCAGAGAGATGAAAGATTAACAAAGGGTTCGAATCAACGATCGTATTTTCTTTGCATGGAAGAATCAACGCGATTGTTTTCTCCGCGATTCAGAAGATCCTATTCGTTAGAGACGGCATTCCGGATCAAGCAAATATTAATACGGAACGTGACCCGATTTCTTTCGATGCACGTGATCCAGGGGGGAAGGGGGCCACCGGATATCCAAGGCGCAGTGATAAATTCCCAGCGTGAGATCTCGTTAAATCAGACGCGACACATTTTTATGCGTTACACGCATGCGAGCGAGCGTGCGTAAGAAGAATCGCGTCCCGATACTACTGCAAATCACGACAAATTCTACGGAAATCCTTCCATTTGTCTTGGACAAATTTGTCAGACTCTAAAAAGTTTTTTCGATTACAAAATCATTTCCTTGCTCGACTATTGCGACGTTGATTAACTCATTATAGAAACGAAAAATAAAAAATTAAAATTAAAAGAATCTCTCTTTCGTACTTAGTTTTTATAGAGTTTGATCGAATATTGGTCACGTTTGATAAAAAGATGGTAACTGACCTGTGTCTTATTGGAAAATTCGGAAGAAACGTGAAAAACTTTTTCCTGTGGAAACCACTGGGCGAGATTTGTATTGTGCCCTGTGTATTTCTATTAACCCAGACGACGCAATTAACGCGCATCCGTCGACATATTGGAATAATGCTGTTTTATTCGATGCTTGCTAATCTGGAGACATAATTATCGACGCAGCGCGCGTACATCGCTTTCGTCAATTTCAATAATTACCCACGCTGTGGCCGTGCAACGCAAAACGATACGAATAATTCACGAACGGCAGAGACGAAATTCTGAACCCATCGTGTCGGCATACATTTTCGAGCAGGCCGAAGAGCATCGAGCAAGCCTCGATTCAAATATTTTAGATACGTTCGTCGACCTGCTCTTAGCAACGTATGGGGAAAATCCATTTTCTCAGATTTAAAATTCTATACATTCTTTCGTCCGGACAGCGTGGTTCCCTCTTCGCGAAACACGCTCCTCCGACGAAAACGCTGTGCCATTATTAATTTTATAAAGTTTACAAGGCTGATACGAACGAAATACGCGGGAATTTCGACCGGGTCGTCTATTTCACGCGATTACCGGCGTTTTAATGTTTTCTCGTTATCGCCGACTCAGGACGCCTTTACGACCGGTCTCGCGACCGTAATTTTCCCGTTTACATCGTTGGAAAATTGGACAAAGAGCCATAAAAATATCGCAAACGGCGGGTCCGACGTTGAAAGCGCAGCGTTGTCGCTATTTGATAAAAACATTCTCGCGTAGAACAGGAACAGAGGGAAGCGAACGCGCTGTCGCTCGAAACGTAAAAGGCGCTGCTTCTCTCGGATTCCCTGCTATTTACAACCTCTTTTGTGTCGCATCGTCGGGCAATTTTTCTAATACCGTAACCCGTCGGACGCAATTTTCTGTCCGACGTCGCGCGAGTAAACGCAGAATTTCATTTGGAAACGGATTACGTCGCGAAAAGCCGAAGATTATATGTACGTCACCGTAGTTAAAAGAAGAACGCAGCGATCTGAAAAAAAAAAAATAGAAACTCGAGAAGCAATTGTGCTCGAGAATCTACGTGAAAAAATAGATCGAACATGTAGAGGAAACGTTTTTTATTTAACGTTTCGTTTCCAAGATAATCGAGCTCGAAAATTTACCTATCGCGTCCGACCGATTTTCGATATTTCTACTTAAATCGTTCGAAATCTATTTTCACGAAAAAATTCGTGGCACCATCCGAAAGGAGGCGAAAAAATAGATCGAAAATGTAGAGTGAAGTATTCCAGTTTAACGTCTCGTTTCCAAGATAATCGGACTTGAAGATTTGCCTGCCGCGACTGACTATATCTCGATATTTCTACTTAACTCGGTCGAAGTCGATTTTCTCGAAAACGAAGCCTCGTATAAAAATATCTTATACCACATTTTCGACGTAGTTTTTCATGTTGAATTACCTGAGCATCATATATTTTTAGTTTACAAACGTTGTTCGATAGATCTTTTGTTCTTCAGTTTCAGTTGATTTCAAAGACATCAGTTTTTAAATAATTTTAACACGTTATCAATGACAATGGCTTTTCGAGAATTTTCCAAGGAAATTTCCGAACCTTAAGAGTACTATAGGGGCTTGGAGACGTTATCAATCATTTGGTTGCTTTCGTGCACCTCGCGCGGGTAAAGCTAATGCATTTAAAAACCTTTTACCGTCTTGGTCCACGAACGTCGGGTTCAAGGGCGAGAGCTTTCCCTTTTAGGCTCACCTTTCAACCCTCTGGTCTCCGTGTTATGTCTGTCGCCAGCGTAAAAAATTATATAGGACATTGTCGTTTTTTTCTCGACGTCCCACGTCGCCTTACGTAACTCGTTCCCCCCCGAATCGATCTCGTACGAGCTCCCTTTTCTCGTATCACGTACGGTTGCCGATCAGATCAAAAATGAAAAGCCACTCGTCCATCCAAAGATTGCGATCGAGACTGTAAAATTAGCTTCACGTCGGAAGTAAAGTTTCGAAAAATATCAGGATAAGCGGCGCATTGCCCATATTCGACGTGGATAAGAAGTCCTCGAAAACGTCTTCAAATTTCTCGTCCGCGCGGTTATCTCCGGAGAACGATAAGACAAGCTTCTCGAAGGAACGACACAAAGGGTTGAAATCGGCTTAGAAACATTAAATTAAATCCAAGAGAAATCCTTTGTCCATAAATTTCACGAGAAGAGATTCTCTCTTTTATTTGCAGAGGGAAATAATTCGAGAGGTTTGGAAATCTCTATTCCCCGTTTAAAAAAAATGGCTGGAAATCTTTCACGGTCCAATGATCGCCGTCGCGGTGGATCCCAAAGCAGCTCGATCTTCCACCTAAACCCTTATCGGTCCCCCACGATGTTCGAAACATAAATTCACCCCAAAAATACTTACGATTCCACCCTCTTGGACTCACGATACATAAATTCACCCTCTAAAATACTTATCGTTCACGCTTCCACGCGCCGCGTGTACAGCAGCTTTCTCGGTAATGAGCGCGATAAAATTCCCCACGCACGGTTACGCAACTTGTCAATAAAAAAAAAAAAAAAAAAAAAGG